CCACCTGCCCTTCCCAGATCATGATGCATGAATACACCAACCCACTGAGCCATAGCAACCCCAGAGTTCTAACCCAGCAGTGAAAGAAAGGTATCTTGCCCTGGCTGGTGTGGCTCAGTGGATGGAGTGCTGGCCTGTAAACCAAGAGGTCACTGGTTCAATTCCCAGTCAGGGTGCATTTCTGGGTTGCGGGCCAGGTGCCTGGTTGGAGGCATTGGAGAGGGAACGGATCCATGTTTTTCTCCCTCTTTCTCTGTCCCTCCCTTCCCCGCTCTCTAAATATAAATTTTTTTTTAAAAAAGGCATCTCAATCTCACAAACCTCTACTCAGTTTTCCTGCTCATGCATTCCCACCAACATCAACTTACAGGTGAATGAATGTACAGAAACCGGTTTTTGTTTCAGGTTTTCTGTGTAAGCCATCAAGGTCTCGTGTACCATTTTATACAAAGAATGGGGTAAATACCCTCGACATGACGTTCCCTGGCAACTGAGTTTTCAAGCTTGGGAAAAGATGCACAGACCACAGATGAATCTTCTAAGCTGTATTTGGAACTGACAAAACATTTGGAACCGAAAGAAATCCTTCTAGACAAAGCCCTGAGCACAGAGTCTGCCTCCAACCACAAAGTTAACATCAACTGCACAGACAAAATTAGCAACAAGGGATCTTTGGCACTAGAAGGGGTAATCCTTAGCTGCTCATACAATATCCAAACTATACTCCAGATATCAGATTGATTGCTGGTTAATAGTTGAATTTTACATTTAAATTATGTTAAAAGTTGGAAGTTTTAGCTAAGTTTTTCGGTATCAATATCCTAACCACATGTAACACTTAGCACCTGAGGTAGAGACTTCTGTCAGAGAAAACACAGAGAGAGTACAATGAAGATTCCCAATATTGAAAGCATATAGCCAAATATTTTTGATTCAGCAAGCCGACCCTGAAATGCAGAACTCTTACCTCTTTAATTTCTGTAGAGACTTTGCACAAGAGTAGGACTTTCTTCTGTTTAAACTGCTGGATTTTGGAATACTATGGATCACACTAAACCCAAACTGGTCTGACATCATTATTCAAAAACACAACTGCATTAGTGACAACATATAAAATCTTTTAAATTCTCCACGATGTGTGGCCATAATGAGTGACAAACGTGTAATTCCACTTCATGATTCTAATATTTGATGGTAACTGTGAACTATTATAGATTTATGATCTATAGGTGAGTCACAATTTTATTTCCAAACTCTGAACAGTATAGGTACAGGTCTTTATTATTTTCAGGTGTTAAAGCTCTTCGTGAGATTACATGATTTTATTTTTTTTTTAATTTATTTTTAGACAGAGAAGGGAGAAAGAGAGAGGGAGAGAAACATCAATACGTGGTCACCTCTTGTACACCCCACACTGGAGACCTGGCCCGCAACCCCGACATGTGTCCCAACTGGGACTCAAACTGGCGACCCTTTGATTCGCAGGCCGATGCTCAACCCACTGAGTCACACCTGCCAGGGCTACATGATTTTATAAAGACAAAATTAATCTGATACCGGGAACCTTTCTATTAAAATGAACAGCAACAGTAGACCTTCGACTTCAGGTAATTTTCTTCAGTCAGGAAAGACCTTTCCTTTAGAAAAAGGCATTTCTTGAATTAAGTTCAAGTATAACATATTTGCCTTTTACTGAATGCTGGCTGGCCAAAAAGTTATCATAAACTATACGGTATTTTTAGAAGTGTACTGTCTCTTAAATAAGACAAAAAGCACAGAGATGGACATTCATAAGCTTAAGGATAAAGCACAGGTACGACTAATAGGAATAACATTTAATTGCATTCTCAGGATAAACTGCTTAGAGCAAGCAGGCTGTTCTGAACCATCACTGACCCTGTGACCACGAGCACCGGAGGATGCTTCGCTACCATCACAGTTCTTCCAACCTTTTTCTTGAAGCTCCAAGCTCACGACAAATGACCAGCAATAGTTTGTCTCTTAATGCCTTTCACCACAGGCTTGGTTTCACTTCTCCATACCACTTCCTGAGAGGTAAGCAGCTCCCAAGACTTGGAAAAGTAAACTGTCTAACTTCGTAGCAAGAAGAAATGACAGAATTAAGGTGACTAATGATGGTTTTTTTCCCCCTTTAAAGATACAGGTGTCCCTCTAAAAGACACGCAGGAGTCCTAATATTCAGAAACATTTTTGAAGGCAAAGTTCATTTTTATCAAAATAATTCTATAGACAGAAATTATTCATCAAGGAAAATCCCCAGAAAAGCTGACTTCAAATGAAGTAACACACTTGTGGTTTTACATGAAATATCGAAACAGGCAAAACTAAGTCATCAGGCAAACTCCAAGCCACAAAACGCACGTTTAACATTTCTTTAGGGGAAACTGTTATCTAAATCTCCCCGGAAATTTGAACTAAGAAAAAGGTCTGTTCATTTTACAACTCTCCGCAAAGAACAGACTTTGAGGAAGAGAGCAGAAAACACGCCACAGCCCCGCAAACCCACCGCACGCTGAGGCCTACAAACAGCATCGGCACCTGGTTCCAGTATGTGATGCACTCGGCTTGTCTAGGGAGTCAACACCGTATGACAGATCACGTCTCACCTACACAGCAGTTCACAGGAATGTGATTTCAACAGGAAAAATTGCTGGGAGGCTTTTTATGCAAGTATCTTGTCAGTTCCAGAACAAAAGCCAGAATATTTTTATTGATTCAATGTAGACCCAATCAAAGGGTTAAGCTGGACACTGACAAGGCCTTCTTCTTCTTTTTTTTAAATTTTATTTATTTATCTTTAGAGGGGAAGGAGAGAGGGAGAGAAACATCCATGTACGGTTGCCTTTTGTGCACTCCCTGCTGGGAACCGGCCTGCAACCCAGGCATGCGCCCTGACTGGGAATTGAACTGCGATCCTCTGGTTCGCAGGCCTGTGCTCAATCCACTGAGCTACACCAGCCAGGGCCCAAGGCCATCTTCTTAATACAGGTTCACAGATGTCATTAGGGGGAAATCTGGCAGACTCCTATGTTCCAAGGCTGAAGGAAATATACTAAGAAAGCAGGGAGATTTGCGAAATCCATGCCACAAAGAAAACTTTAGTGAGAGAATGAAAAGACTTTTAAACGTGTATACACTTGTGAAGTGGTTTAGGAAATCTTTCCACGTACTTTAAAAAGGTGGACAATTATCTGGACACAAAGGATAACATCCTCATCAGAACAAGCCGAGGTGAACCACCAGGCCACTGTGTGCAGAAACCGAGGGGGTGCCTCCGGCGCTGAACACCTGCCTGGAATTCCTGCCTCTCTCCTTCCTTCCCCACCCCTCTCAAATCCCCACCTTTCCACGGGCAAAGCCACGCTGTACTCCTCCAGGCTCTGAAGACATGGGTGTGAGTGTATGTGAATTTTTGGTCTTTCAATGAAGAAATCTGCTTGAAGCTTTAGTGACATAAGAATTAATGGGCAGTTCTTTAGCTTAGCTAGGCTTACATGTTTAAAATCTTGCCTGTATTCTTAGAATTATTTCTTTATTAAACATCTGGTTTGAAGGAAACAGTGCATGTCTATTAATTATGCAGGATACATACAAATTTTCCAAAATATTCCCTGCAGTCTCATCTGAGCTTATTTTTTTGCTTAAGATGTTTAGAGATGCTGAGGAACTTCTCTAGGTCAAAATTTACAGATTACAAAAAAAAAGCGGCAGTAGCAGCAAAATAAAGGTAAATGCGTGGCTAGAAAAATAAGCTTACATTTTCCTGAGTTGCTCTGGTCTGAAGGTGGGAGTGAGAGAAATGCAATGGAGAGCAACAAAAAAAAAAAAAGAAAAAGAACTCCACAAAGGTGCTAGATGTTCTAGGATTCTCCTAAACAATGGACAACTGGCATTTTTAAATTAAGACATAAGAAAATAATATTTTTGGAATTTCAAAGCCTGAAGAGGCCCAAGAGAGTTCCTGTCGGAAGAGTGCGCCCCAAAGGAAACGCCCCCTGGTGAGGCAGCGCCCCCCCTTCACCCCCCCCCAGACTCCACCAAGCTCTTGCTCAGCAGCCGCTCATAAACTGTCAGACAAATGCTGTGAACGGGGAGGGCGAAGCTCTCCAACAGATGAATACAAGATGAGAAAAGGCAACAAAATATCGCAAGGTGTGAGTGTTATTGAGCATTAATGTTTGTCACCGACAAATAGATATGCCTACTAATATATTTGTGGGGAATAAACACTGAAATTCTCTTTAGGTCTATTTATAGAAAAAATCCCTGATCTGACGGGTCTTCCAGGCAGAAACCTACATTGGCAGAGATATGCAAATTATACAAATGCCACAGTAAATTATAAAAAAGAAGGAATTTGAATTCAGGCCTTCTGCCTTATGCAGCACAAGAAGCTCCTAGCATTCTTGGCTTACAAGGAAATGTTTGTATTTCTAACGTCAACATATAAAGGAAATATCCATCGCCAGTTTCTTAAACTAGAGAGAAACAGGTTTCTTCCGGATGGAGATTTAAGGCAAATCAACAGGTCCACAACTACACATCCTATTAGGGCTCATTTTCCAAGCGTGGCTTTGCTTTGTGATAGAGGAATCTTAATAATAATTCTAAACCAGGTCTCCACATCGCTGTAGCACTTAAATTACATACGCACCATCAAAACATATACTGGAGATGCTTGATATTTAAAGGAGACTTGCAACGAATAATTTGTCTCCTTTGAAAATACAAACAGGTTTTTAAAGACAGATACAACTCTGGGCACATGAATGAGATTCAAAGATTTCTTGAGTAAAGAAGGGAAGATCTCAACCCCCTGCTATGGATTTACTTTCTAAGACTAAAAACTGAATTTCTCCTCCTTACCTATTTGAAATCATCCCTGCAACAAAAGAGGCACTTTTATTAGGTGTAGCATCTGTTAAAACTTGAAACCCAGAGTAGAATTTGTTGAACAAAGTAAGAACGCTGGCCTAATAGGCATTACCTTGGGATTTTTTTCCCCTTTAATATAAAAGTATAACTACAGTGGTCCAATGTACAAGTACAAAAAAAATTCTCATACTAAAAAAAAATAATAATACCGTAATACTGTACATACAAAAACCGTTCAACAAGAATGATTTAAATATATCTGTTCTTTTCCGGATCTGGAAGACACAAAGGTAAAGTTCTGTATTATTGCCGGAACACGTCTGGAACACGTGCCCAGGAGCACTACTCTGCCCTTCTTTTCCCCTGTCCCAGCCCTGCCTTTACAGTCCCCTGAGCTCAGACCACAAGCCAACAGCATCCCTGAAGATAACCAGAGCCAAATGTTTACTCAATGGAAGTCATTATTCAGTGAGCCGTTGCTTACTATAAACTATGAAAAGCACAAGTTTTAAGCCCAGCCAAGATTAAATCCAGACGGAGGTCTTCCCATTCCCTGATTTGCTACTTGCACTGCTTTTGTTGGACCCGGCTTTAGACCCCACTTTGGCTTTTTTCCCCCGGGCAACATGGGGGTTGTTTTGGTGAGTGTAGGCCTGGATCGCTAGGTCCAAGCGTTCCTGAGCCATTCTGATCTCCCGCTGCAGGGTCTCCAGGTCGGCTGGGAGGTGCTCCTCATGGCTGCCGTACTGCTGTTCCTGGGCGATGTTGGCTTTGTTTTGCTTGTAGGCGATCTTAGCATTGGACAGTTCGGTGTACTGGATTTGATCCGGTTTGACAGCAATGTTATAGCCAGGGGGAGCAGATGGTGTATTCCAAGTGAAAGGATAATTATAAACACCCGGGTCTTCCAGTTCCCTCCTTTTACTGTTTAGTGAGTCTCGAATCGTCCCAAATCCTAAATGAAGCATCTCCCAAATGTTAAGCAATAGGCAAAGTCCTGTAACCCCATACATTATCAGAAGGAAGATGGTCTTTTCAGTGGGTCTAGAAATAAAGCAGTCTATCTTATGAGGGCAAGGAATTCTACTGCACACATAAGATGGGTGGACTTGGAAGCCATAGAGAAAATACTGCCCTATCAGAAAGCCCACCTCAAACACGGTCCTTGCCAGCAACTGTAGCACGTAGATTTTCATGAGACCATCCTCCCGAATCCGCCGTCGGCCATCATGCTTGGGTTTCGGTTGGTTTTGCTCTTTATTTTCTTTTTCACTTTCTAATTCCATTTCTGGATACATCATGGGATCCTCTTCATGGTCCTCTTCTGTTTCTTCCAGAGCCCGGTGCTGTTTCCAACGCATCGCGTAGGGTTTGCTCCGGGCTGCCTTCTTGTCTGCTTCGCCGTGCTCCATCTTGGCGATCTTGTGAATGGCGTAGCCCAGGTACATCACCGAGGGGGTTGCCACCAGGATGATCTGGAACACCCAGAAGCGCACGTGGGAGAGAGGCGCGAAGGCATCATAGCAGACATTCTCGCAGCCTGGCTGCTCTGTGTTGCACACAAATTTGCTTTGCTCGTCGTAGTAGATGGACTCTCCCCCCACGGCTGTGAGGACGATCCGGAAGACGATCAGCACGGTGAGCCAGATCTTGCCCACGAACGTGGAGTGGTTGTGGATCTCCTCTAGCAGGCGAGTCAGGAAGCTCCAACTCATGGTGACTGAGCTGGCGGACCCTGATAGAAATGGAAAAATACCAAAGGAAACCTCAACAGATATTAAGATTTTAACAATTAAACTTTTTACTGATTATCTTTAGAAACTATTTTTCTGCATACCTGAAATCTAACTTGAAGGCTCATACTAGAATGATTGTTAAAATAAATAGCATCTCTCTACTACCCTTGGGTAGGACAATTCACCTCAGTCTATCAGCACTTGTTTGGGCCACCAAATTAGAAAGTCAAGTTGGCTTTGATGTCTCCCCTAGTTTAAAAGGTAAAATTGTAGCTATTACTTTAGATATATTTTTCAGACACAGTATCCTGGATTCTTTACGCAAATTATTTCATAATGCCTTCAAAATTTTGTGAGATACAGATTAAAAAAATATATTTGGTCCACCCTGGCTGGTGTGGCTCAGTGGATTGAGTGCCGGCCTGTGAACCTAAGGGTCACCAATTTGATTCCCAGTCAGGGCACATGCCTGGGTTGCAGGCCAGGTCCCCGGTGTGGGGTGCGTGAAAGGCAACCACACTGATACTTCTCTTCCCTCTTTCTCTCTTCCTTCTCCCTGCTCTAAAAATATATAAATAAAATCTTAAAAAAAAAAAAAGGTACTCCAATCATGATAAGACTATCACATAATGGAGACACTTAGGCTAGATTCCACTGTGAAGAAGTACCTTATTAGAAAACTTAAATTTTAGACTTGGTGACAAAGTATTAAAAATAATTTAAAAGGCCCTGATTGGTGTGGCTCAGTGGACTGGGGTGTTGCTCCCACAAACCAAAAGGTTGCCCATTTGATTCCCGGTCAGGGCACAGGCCTGGGTTTCAGGCCAGGTCTTCAATTCAGAGTGTGCGAGAGGCAACCATACATCGATGTTTCTCCCCACCCCCCCAAAATAAATAAAATATTTAAAAATAATAAAAAAGGCCCTGGCCAAGTGGCTCAGTTGGCTGGAGCACTGTCCCATACACCAAAAGGTCATGGGTTCAATCCCCAGACAGGGCATGTACAGAAGGCAATTGATTGATGTTTCCCTCTCACATCAATGATTCTTTCTTTAAAAATCAGTAAAAACACACCCTCAAGTGAGGGGGGCAGGGGGAAGCGCCCTGGTCAGGTACCTCAGTCGGTTAGAGCATTATCCCAATATGCAAAGGTTAAAGGTTTGATCCCTGCTCAGGGCACATACAAGAATTAATCAATAAATACACAAATAAGTGGAACAACAAACTGATGTCTGTCTCTTTCTCCCCCTTTCTCTCTCTAAAAATAATTTAAAAAATAATTTAAAAGATTCTGTATTATGTTTATAGTGAATGTAAAAAAAATATCTGCAAATTGAACCGTGAAGGCACTAAATCCATAGGCAAATCCAGTTAAAATGGCATTTTGAAGGACAGTTTTATTCTGAGATTCTCAAAACTGTGTCCAGAATCCTGGTTAAAAACCATCTAAATAAGGTAATATTTACAAAATCCCTAATGTTACCCATGACATTACGTACACCTAGCTTTTCTCCTTCTCTCCCCCAGTTTGCTTCTGCAGCTTGGAGGCGATTATCAGCACCATCAAAGAAGTTTAAACACACTGTACCTGTTGTCTGGAACTTCCGCTATCCAAAATTTTCTTAGAGAAATGATGTCTTGCTTACAACTTTTCCAGATTCCCTCTGGAAAGGGAAAAGAGAGAGAGAGAGCATAAGCTTCCTCCCACAGAAAACAGTGGATCACTAACACGTCATTTTCAGGAAGAAACGTTCTCTGTCTGCCACAGAAATCAATCAGTATAAGACAGACAGAAACAGGCTTGAGCCTGAATACCAGTTTCTCCCAACACATGTGGTGGGAGGAACTTCACAGCAGAGATCCAGAGCGTCTTAGACATTGTAGTCTAAGACAACACGACAGGAAGATGAGTCACTCGTGAACGTCGAAGCAGATGAACTCATGCATCTATAGGAAAAAGCCAGAGCAGAAAAATCTCGACAAATCTGAACCGGGTCACTAGAGGCCCTGTGAAAACGCTCACCCGTGTGCTCTACTCCCTCTCTGTCCCTGGAGCAGCCCATACTTCTCACCGGGGAGGGAGCAGCCGACAGCTGGTTCTCAGTCACTGGGACACCCATGTCCCACAGGAGGTAGGAGGTGATTTACACATTCAACTGCTCACAGAAAGAAAACAGCTGCATCTGTACTGCAGTTTTAAAAAATAACAACCCAGTCCTGGATACTCTGGCTCAGTGGATTGAGTGCCAGCCTACAAACCAAAGGGTCATTGGTTCAATTCCCAGTCAGGGTGCAGACCTGGGCTGTGGGGCAGGTCTCCAGTAGGGGATGCTCAAGAGGCAACTACACATTGTTTCTCTCCCTCTCTTTTTCTCTCCCTCCCCCTCTCTAAAAATAAATAAATAAAATCTTTTAAAAAATCCAAGACAAATTACTGCTTATCAAATTCTGTCAACTTTGTAAAGCTATGGCCAAGATACATTCATTCAATGCCAACTTTGTTCATTTATTAATTTAATGAATAAAATTTAAACAATTCCTAAGTGCTCACAGTCATGTAAAAACACTCTGAGTGGGGTGAGAGGAAGGAAAAAAACCCTAAATGATGTTCGAAAGGCCGATGAAAGTAGAGGACAAGAAGCGCAGCATCTGCATCACACGAGTCCAGACTCAGAACCTGACCACACAGACGTCTCCCAGGACTCTGACCACGCCCACCACAGCCCGCTGTCCAGCTGAGCTCACTGCTCCCCTCTGACTACACGCACCTTACAAAACCTCAAAACACGAAGAACATAACGCGCAACCACTGAATGGTGGTCACAATCAGGCTCCCACTACAAAACTCCATCACGACTCTCACGCACCTGAGTTTGGACTCGGCTTTGCCCCACACGCCACTCTAAGGCGCTTCCCCTGAGCCTGTGACTCTATTTGCTCCAGAATGCCGCGAAAGTGGGGCTGTCACTTGCTTAGAAAAGTCATCTCTGTACCTCCATTCATATCTTTTAAAATAATTATTGCTATGCAAGAATTTCTCAAAAGTTCAGCATCTCCTACAATAACCTTAACATTTTTGCAGGGAGGAGAAACTGGCAACAAGCCCTTCAAGGCTTATATATGTTATAAAGAGCCTTTTTAAAAATTATTATTTATTATTTATTTATTTATCTTTAGGGGGGAGGGGAAGGGAAGGAGAGAGGGAGAGAAACATCAATGTATGGTTGCCCCTTGTGAGTCCCCTGCCGGGCACTGGCCTGCAACCCAGGCATGTGCCCTGACTGGGAATTGAACCGCAATCGTCTGGTTCGCAGGCCCGCACTCAATCCACTGAGCTATGCCCGCCAGGACTAAAGAGCCATTTAAACACACCCAAAAGCACACACCACATACTGGTTACGCTGTAGGCCTGGAAAATGCTAACCCCTGGAGCCTGATTTCCCACGGCACTCCTGAGTGCCACAGCACTCCGTGTCCATATCTGGAGCACAAATGACATGTTTAGGATCTCAGCACCAGCACAAAACGGGGACAGACAATCGTCTTTCTAAGATAACCATGGACTTCCTAAACTCAGCGGCATGGTCACCACTGCTTCTCTCTCCTGAGCAGTCAGTAGGTTTTTCTTTGACACTCTTCTTTTTCCTCTCCTTGCAAGCATTAAGAGAATGGTTTACAGATCACAGAGCACATTACTTCAACAGGATGGTGGGAGAGAGTGGGGGAGAGTGGAAAGGGGGTGAATTGAGTAGAATGGTGGGTGACAATTTCTAAGCAGAACTTGTCACTGCCAAGTGTGGTCTCATTGTGTTCTTGCTCCACTAACAGACCAAACTTTTTTTTGGCACTCTGCTATCAGAAGCCTATGATTCAGGACATAGTTTTCTCTGGCTTCCAAATAAACTTGGTAATAGAGCAGGGAGAGAAGAGTGTGCGACTAACCTGTAAATGGCTCTCATGAAAAAACAGAAACCAGTTCCATACTGCATCTATGAACAGAAAATGACGGGAACACGTGACAGGTGCTGGCCAGAGATGGGGGAACAAATGCCCAACACCTCACTATTTAGGAAAGCCCCAACTGATTTATGTGTACTTTTATACTTAAAATCTTCTTGAATATATCCTTTAAGCTTTGACTGAATTTATCTACAAATTCTAGGTAAGTGATATTATTAAGTCCAAGAAATGTCAATCTGCATGGTGCTTGCATTGTACTATTATCTGACTTTCTAAGAAGGTCCTAGCAATTGACAATGCCTGGCAACATGTGATTACAACTTCACTTCGAGATCGTCAGCAGTCTGATATACCACTGGTATTTTAAAATTATGTCAATTTGTATGTTTTTAAAAAGAGGTATTTATTTTCTAGGGAGAGGGGAAGGGAGGGAGAGAGAGGGAGAGAAACATCGATGTGCACGAGGAACACACGTCAACTGCCTCTCCCACGCCCCCAGCCAGGCACCTGGCCCACAACACAGGCCTGTGCCCTGACCAGGAACCAGACTGGTTTGTGGGATGACGCCCAACCCACTAAGCTGCACCAGCCGGGGTTCAATTTGATATGTTTTTAACACAAGAGGATACACATTCTCCATATTCTCCCCTGTGGACTAGGTCCTACCCTTTTGCTTATTTATCTGCAAAATATAGTCTTAATATAATACAGACATTAACCATTTGACATTTAATATAAACACCTCATTTTATTGTCTTCCTTCAGATTTTATTATTTTTATATAGTATCAATTTCTTGAATAAGTTTAAAAATGGGGAAAGTTACTCTTCCAAGAATGGCTTTAAAAAATCTTTATCATAAATATATATTTTTAATTAAAAATTTTAATTAGTTTACATTCAATATTATATTAGTTTCAGGCATATAGTTGTTAGACAATTCTATAATTTATAAAGTGATCTCCCCAGTAATTCAAGTAGGATGGCTTTTTAAATAAGAAATACTGCAGTTCATTGTAGCCCGTAATTCAAATGGACCCTGTCTCACACACACATACAGAAAACAAATACCGGAGAAAATCATGTTTCCTTGAATAACATTTATTGGACAGAAATCAAATGCATTACTTTTAGTCTAGTTTCCAAATAACTAAATTTACAAATCTTCCTTGTCTTGCACTAGAAAACAAAATTTAAAGTTAGCTGGCAGTGGGGAGGGAGTTTGGGGGAGGGTAGAGGGATTGAGCAAAAAGGAAACAGCTCATGGACGTGGAGGACGGTGTGCAGACTGCTGAGGGGAAGGAGCAGGAGGGTAGGGAGGGTAAGTGGGGATGGGCGGAGACCTGACTGGGGTGGTGAGATCCAGTGCACAGATGAGGTGTTGCAGAACTGTGTGCCTGAAACCTGTATTATTTTTTTAAGGTTTTATTTATTTTTAGGGAGATGGGAAGGGAGGGAGAAAGAGAGGGAGAGAAACACTGGTGTGTGAGAGAGACGTCAACAGATTGCCTCTCACATGCCCCTAAAGGGACCTGGCCTGCAACTCAGGCACGTGCCCTGACTCGGAATCAAACTGGTGACCCTTTGGTTCAAAGGCTGGCACTCAATTTTCTGAGTCACACCAGCCAGGGCTGAAATCTCTGTAATTTTGTTAGACAGTGTTAAATTCAATAAAAGTGGTGGGGGGCAGGATTAGTTGGCATTGACATGGTAATAAATTATGTAATCCCCTCCCAAATTCTTTATATCTAAAGAATGTTCTATCAGTTTCACCCTAACAGGACCAAGTCAAAGTCACTGCATTTTTCTGTAAAACAGAACTCACTGGATTCTGAAGATTAAGTGTATATTATTTGGATTATCTCAGGAGGCAGATTATATAATTAGATCCATTTTTAAATTAAAGAAACGAGGTCCAGAAAGCTTATAAAATTTGCCTAAGGTTATCCCACTATTAAGTGATTAAGCCAGAATCCGAAATCAGCCAGCCAGGCTCTAGAATCTGGGCTCTTAACCACTAGTAAGAAGCTGCACTACAGACGGAACAGAAGAGGGGCTTTATGCCTTTTCTTGGATGAAACTAAATGATAAAATAAGCTTGCAAAGATCAAAGGGAGAAATTTCAGAGTTTAAGATCTTATCGTGTAAAATTAGAATTGGAAAAAAAAACCCAAAACCAAATATTGTAGAACTCCAAGGCTCCCTGGTAGTCAGGAGGGAAGAATAAAAATAGAAAAATTGTATCTTGAAACAAAAATGACTTACTGAAGAATAACAACTTATTTAGCACTGAGAGCAGGGACTAGAGAACTTTGTGAATGCAGTGATGTCAGCACGTGTTGGCAGAGCGGTGCGGCCGGTGGCCACGCGAGGCGCCCAGAGCTCTGCCTGCCCTCCAGACAGACCCCATGACCCCCGCACTGCCGGTGCTGCCGGTCAGTGCTGCGGCCGCTCCGTCCCCAGACAGACGGAAGCTCTAGGCTGAAAGAAGCCGTCCTCAGCAAGCCAGCACTACAAGAAATGTTGAAGGAAGTATTTCAGACAAAAGAAAAGTGACATCAGATGGAAATTTTAATCTATACGAATGAATAAAAAGCATGTAACTATAAAAGACATCTAATATATTATTTAAAAATTTTTTGAACGATAACTGGCCATTTAAAGAAAAAAAGATGACAATTTGTGGGGTTTAGAGCACATTTTAA